GGTGTGAGATGTTCATTCATGTTTATTTCGCGTTAAAGCTACTAGTAAAGAAGAAGGGATGCTGTTAGAACTGAAGTGTTTATACAGAGATCTGTCGCGCCAAAGCGGCATTTATTGTCTGAATTTCCTGAAAAATATTGAATGATTTGTTTGGTACACGTGCCTAGTTTAATAAAAATGTCTTAACTGGATCTTCCAGTAATATCTAAAAATTGAGTCAACTGGTGGATTAGTAGCACATCTAAGCTGCTTCACTTGGATGTTCTTCACAATATGTGACCCTGCAGCACAAAAGCAGTGTTAAGTCGCTGGGGTATATTTGTAGCAATAGCCAACAATACATTGTATGGGTCAAAATGATACATTTCTCTTTTATGCCAAAAATCATTAGGATATTAAGTAAAGATCATGTTCCATGAAGATATTTTGTACATTTCATACCGTAAATATATCAAAACTTAATGTTTGATTAGTAATATGCATTGCTAAGAACTTCATTTGGACAATTTTAAAGATGATTTTCTCAATATTTAGATTTTTTGCACCCTCAGATTCCAGATTTTCAAATAGTTGTATCTCAGCCAAATATTGTCCTATCCTAACAAACCATACATCAATGGAGAGATTATTTATTCAGCTTTCGGATGATGCATAACTCTCAATTTCGAAAAATTGACCCTTATGACTGGTTTTGTGCTCTAGGGTTATATGGAAGAAATAATCTGTTGCTGCTTCCGTTTCATCACAATTCTAATGTGTACAGTCTAATATGATTAACGATGTAAGTAATGATGTGCAGTGATTTGTGTGTGAGCAGGGATCAGTGTATCCGGAGGATCAGAGTCGCGGGTTCAGCCTGTGGTGAAGATCGAGAGGATTTTCCCAGGAGGAGCTGCGTCTGCTAGCGATGTTCTGCGGGTAACAGACGAAGCCCTGTTGATCTGAGTGTGTGTGTGTGTGTGGTTCAGTGCGAGTCAGTGGATCTGCTCTGTGTGTCTCAGGCTGGTTTTGAGCTGGTGTCGGTGGATGGCGTCTCTCTGCAGGCCGTCAGCCATCGGGACGCTGTGGAGATCATTCGACAGGCCTTCAGTAACAAGAACATCAACCCCATGGAGCTCGTGGTCAAAGTTCCCAGAGAGCCCAGAGTCTCATGACACGTGCCTTACTGTATGTATTACACACTCACCTGATTTATCATTCTAGAGTGAAGAACGAACTCTGCGACTCGCCACTCTCATGAAAACACAGCGACTCTTCAGTCAGAAGCTGCAAACTCTTAAAGATTACACTTCACATTAGCTTGAGCTTAAACCAGGAATACGTGCTTAAAACACGCTTGATGAACAGCCACGAACTCAGCAACATCCTACAGATTGTTCTGGAAACATGTCAGGAAAATAAACTCACCTTAGCTAACAAACTTAGATTATAAGAATATTGTGGGAACGTTGTTTTGAAGTGTTTCTAAAACGTTGAAATGTCCAGTCTTCTTGTCGTGGTTAGAAAGTTAAAGGTTACAAAAGTGTTTCTTGCAGCATTCTAATTTTTCACCCAAAATATAACATTATTTGAATGTTTATTTGTAATGTAATATTTTAAAATGTCCAGTTTTCCTGATGTTAATAGAACGTTATTTAAAGGTTACAAAAGCGTTTCTTACAACATTGTACTATATTTTTTACCCAAAATATAATTTGAAAGATTGTAAAATGTCCAGTTTTCTTGTCATGATTATAACATTATTTAAAGGTTACACAAATGTTTCTTACACTGTTCTACCTTGTCACCCAAAATGTTATTTTAATGTTTATTTTTAATGTTTTATCAACGTTAAAATGTCCAGTTTTCTTGCTGTGGTTAGAACGTTATTTAAAGATTACAAAAACATTTCTTGCAACATTCTACTAACTTTATTTTTAACGAAATATGACATTTAAACATATTTTTAACTTTCTAAGAACATTAAAATGTCCAGTTTATGACGTTATTTAAAGGTTATACAAATGTTTCTTACAACCTAAATTTTTACCCAAAATGTATCATCATTTGAAAGTTTATTCTCAATATTCTAAGAGTGTTATCTAAAGGTTACAAAAATGTTTCTCAAAACATTCTACTAATTTGTTTTTTACCCCAAAACAACATTTGAACGTTTATTTTTAATATTCTAAGAGCGTTACAAAAACGTTTCTTAGAACGTACAAAGAACAAGAACATTTTGAGAATAATCTCAATGTTTTCTCAACGTTATGAGAATATATATCAAACATATTATTAAAGTTCTAAAAACATTCCATAAACATTACTTTAAGAACGGTTTGTCCCAACAATTATCTAACTTTAAAAAAAAACATTAGTGAATGTTGTGTTTGTTAATAAGAATAAATCCTGGTTTAATTGCTCTGGTGACACTGAGTTATTACAAAGATCAGTAGTCAGAAATATTTGCTGTGGCTGTTTAAGAACATAAATACTGAATAAAATACCAGCGAATGTGAGTTATTGCAGGTGTTTAATTACAAACAGCTCATAGGAACATTAAATATGCTGCACGAAAAATATACAATGCATTGGCTTCATACAAATACTGTTAATTAAAAAATTACACCACCACCACAATCACCCACGAGATACAAGCAACGCTTTGGTCTAGTCACAGTGGCTTTTATATGTACGCATCTATCTATATTGTTCAGTATTATGTGACCGTATGTGTGCAGTAATGGGTTTATTTTGGTACAAATATAACAGTCAATAGCTTTTTTGAAAGAAGAGTTTATGTTCCTCACATTAGTGTTTAATAGCGGCGCGTTCAGCTCCTGTCAGAATTACTGCTGCTCATGTCCTCCGACTCTGAAATGATTTGAGTTATAGATTATTATTGAACACCAATACGGATGCAGCTTTGTTGCTGTTGATAAGAGCAAAATACTTCATAAATGCACTATTGAAGAACAGAATCATTTTATTTTTACATGAGAGCAGCTTGAGTTTCTAACTTGGTAATTATGCGTTCAGCAAAGACATGAGCAGCGTTTACTAATCAGATGCTCAATTACAGTAATTCTGACACGATGTGATCGCAGGATAGACTCCTTTTTTTATGTGAGACTCGATGCTGATGTGCAGAGAATTTTGGGATATCGCATAAAAAGCTTGTGGATGGAAAAGCCAAGATGCACAAAATATTAAAATGTGCATAAAAAAAAACGTGCTCAATTGAGATGGATACATTATTTTATTTTTATTTTTTTGGCACGAAAACATGTGCTTAAATTATGATGGAAACGCGTTTACAGAATCAATTCCTGAATGTGCATCAAACATGAATTTGTCTCAGCGTGTTAATTGGATGTTAATTGGTTGATAACTGGACTAACCAGTGGGCCGATCTCATCACACACCATCCCAAATACTGTTTTAGTTGTTCTGAAATATCTGAGCCTACAACAATGTTTTACTGCCACATTAAAAAAAATAAAACAAAGTGAATTTCTCACATAGAAGCTACCGGAGCAGTGTTGTTTCTCTCAATTTTTTTTCTCTCAATGTAAACTTCATTTTCAAAATATTACGACTTTAATCTCGCATTTCTATGACTTAGATCTGGTAATTTTGACTTTATTCTCAAAATATTGCCACTTTAATCTACATTACTACAACTTTAGTCTCGTCATTTTGACTATTTTCAAAATATATAAACTTCAATCGCACAATATTATGACTTCTTTTTTTTTTTTTTTTTAATATTACGACTTTACCCTCGTATTTTTATGCCTTTATTTTTTGTATTGAGCTACAACTTTTCTCATAATTGTAACTATTTTCAAAAAACTTTAGTATCAATACTTTAATCTCATACTTCTGTGACTTTATTCTTGTATTGCTAGGACTTAGTTCTGGTCATTTTGACTTTATTCTCAACATTTTATAACTTAAATCTTACAGTGCTGTGACTATTTATATTTCCACAATGTACATTTTTTTAAATTTTTTTACATGTCACCAAAACACCGTCATATGAGCCAAAGTCTCAAAATGATTTGGTATAATCCCTCCCACATTAGAACAGTCTCGCATGATTGTGTACCAAACGTCAGGCATCCGAACGCAACATAACATGACAACGTTTCACTCTGATGTGCAGATAACTTTTGTAGGAAAAAACAGCCTCAGCTTCCCCGTCTGCAGCAACTTTTTAGCATTTTAAGAGTGATTTACTTGCACCAAAACAAAGGCGCTTTCTCAAATTTTATGCGATATTCCAAGATTAATTCGCAACATTGGATGGAAACGTAGCTAATGACACAAAAGTGCACTTCTGTGAGTTTACAAACTGTGTGCCCAAAATGACAGTCAATTTAATGAAGTTGCACCAATTATTGGGCCACATAAATTATGTAGTGTACTTAAAAACGGCATTGAACTCCGTGCCGTCTGCAGTAGATTAGGAGCAGTTCACACAGAACGCGTTTTCCCCATTCCACTGTAATATTACCTTGTTTTTCTATGCAAGACAGATGCGTTTGCAGCGTTCCATGCATAAAATGGCACTCTAAAAATGCAGTGCTCAACTTAAAAGTTGTTCAACTATCAAAAAAACACGTTTTTCCCCGTTCCACTGCCCATGTGTCAAAAACGCGTTCTGTGTGAACGGCCCCTTACTCCGATTTGAGAATAGTTTTGTCAAATGATTAATCGCTATTAATCACATCCAAAATAACAGTTTTTGTTTACATAATATATATGTGTGTGTGTGTGTGTGTGTGTGTGTGTGTGTGTGTGTGTGTAATTTATTCAGCTTTCAGATGATGCATAAATCTCAATTTCATAAGATTGACCCTTATGACTGGTTTTGTGGTCCAGGGTCACATTTAAGAAAAATGTTTATATATTAAATATATTTATATATAATAGAAATTAAATGAATATAAATATATACATGTAAATATTTTAAAAAAATATATACTGCATGTGTGTTTATTTATATAAATATTCACAGCACATGCACATCACATACACAAACTTATTTTGGATGCGATTAATCGCGATTAATTGTTTGACAGCACTATTTGAGAACAGAACTTAGTTGCATTTTACGCAGAGCACAATCTGAAATGAGTGCGGCAGTAGACGATTACTTGTTTCAGATCTCGGTCGCAGTGATGTCGTCGAACGTGACTTCGTTTCCGCTGCTGTCGTCGTCCTGTTCTCGGGACTCCAGCTCGAGGCTGAGCTGACGGAGCGATCGCTCCAGATCTCGGTTCCTTTTATACATCTGCACGTAGTTCTGCTGCAGCTGTGTTTGATATCGAATCACTTTATCCTTCTCCTCCTCCCAGCTCTTTCTCTCGCTCTTGAACGCAGACGTCTGATCGGAGGAGTGCTGGCGTTCGTAAGCGAGCTCCGCCTTCAGGCGATCGATCTGCTGCTTTGAGGCTTTCAGTTCCTCGCTGTCGTCGGCGCTCGAGGCGCTAAGGTCTTCCAGACGGCTTATTTTGTCCCGGAGCAGCTCGTTCTCGCTCTTGCGGCACTGCAGCTCGTTCTCGCAGACCTCGAGCTCTAGCGTCCGTGTGTGAGAGGCCGTGTGCACCTCCTGCAGCTGACTCTGACACGTCTGCAGCTCGGCTCGAACCTCTCGCAGCTGTCCTCGTAACGTCACCAGCTCACCGACGCGCTGCGCCAGATCGGCCTGCAGGTCCTTCAGCTGCTGCTTCAGCAGTGAGATCTCTCCAGACTTCTGACACACCTGAGAGAAATGCAACAAGTTTAGAACCTAGTGCTGCACGATAAATCGCATTGAAATCACAATCACATCTTGTCAGTGAAGCACGGTTCTGTGATCAGTAGTAAATGTCCAGAAGAAATCCCTATAGCGTTAGCTGAATAAACAAGATTTAACTGCTTTCAGTGATTCAGCGCGACTAATAAACACAGGACTATGACAATATATGATTTATCTGAGTTCTTATTATTAGAATTTTCATTATAATAATGTATATGTGAGCCTGGAGCACAAAAGCAGTCTTGCGTGTCAATTTTTGAAATTTGAGAGTTATGCATCATCTGAAAGCTGAATAAATAATCTTTCCATTGATGTATGGTTTGTTAGGATAGGAC